GGATACTCTTCTGAGTTACTAAGGCTGGTTAGTGATAAAACTAGTCTCTCAGCATTTGGTTCTCACTGATAACCCATCTTGATTGTCTGATAATTGACGCTGAGTATTTATGTGTGACAGCAAAGTGTTAACTCCTTTTCATGTATTAAATCTCACCATAAAATTAGTATTTACTCCATTTTATAGATCAAAGAAGAGAGAGAACAGGCCTTCAAACTCAACTCTTGTTCTTCCCTACTTAACCTCTGAATCAGGTAGAATTAAGAGTTTCACAGCCTGAGATCTGACATCACAAATGGATGAGACCAAGGCTCTTGGTCTACTTGAGTACCTCTCAACTCACTGACTTCCCGCTTCTTTTCCAGCTGAGTAAGAGACAAGTCAAATCTAACTTTTTATTATTTTTTTTTTTTAAGACACAGCTCACAGCAACCTCAAACTCTTGGGCTTAAGCAATTCTCTTGCCTCAGCCTCCCAGGTAACTGGTGCCTGCCACAACACCCAGCTGCTTTTAGAGACAAGGTCTGGCTCAGGCTATCCACCTGCCTTGGCCTCCCAGAGTGCTAGGATTACAGGCGTGAGCCACCTGCTGTTTTGTACCCACTTCAATCTAACTTTATATTTATTTATTTTTGAGACAGAGCCTCAAGATGTCACCCTGGGTAGAGTGCTGTGGCATCACAGCTCACAGCAACCTCCAGCTCCTGGGCTCAAGTGCGTCTCCTGCCTCTACCTCCCAAGTAGCTGGGATTACAGGCACCCGCCACAATGCCTGGCTACTTTTTGGTTACAGCCGTCATTGTTGTTTGGTGGGCCCAGGCTGGATTCGAACCCGCCAGCTCAGGTGAATGTGGCTGGCGCCTTAGCCGTTTGAGCCACCGGGCACCAAGCCCTCAATCTAACTTTGAATTGATAGTGGTTACTATGCAACAGGAGGGGAGAAAAGTCCTTTCTCCTTGGCAGTGTGGATATTATTTTTCCTTTTTTTTTTTTTTCTTTTTGAGACAGAGTCTCACATGTAGCCCTTGGTAGAGTGCCCTGGCATTACAGCTCACAGCAACCTCAAACCCTTGGGCTAAAGTGATTCTCTTGCCTCAGCCTCCCAAGTAGCTGGGACTACAGGCGCCCACCACAATGCCTAGCTGTTTTTAGAGATGGGGGTGGGGGGTGGGGGGTTGGTGTCTCTTGCTCAGGCTGGTCTCTAACCTGTGAGCTCTGGCAATCCAACTGCCTGGGCCTCCTAGAGTGTTGGGATTACAGGTGTGAGCCACCCCCGCCCTTTTTTTCCCCCTCTTTTAAGAGACAGTAGATTCGAACTACAGGGCTCAGGCTATCCTCTTGCCTCAGGGTCTTAAGTATAAGTAGCTGGAATTACAAGTATGAACCATTCTGTAGTGTTTTTATTTCCTGCTTTAGTGATCTACCACTTCTGCCACAAGTTGGGACATACTGTCTATTGTGTGTGTAGGGGTGCGATCATATTCCTGGATGGTCCTGTGGACATAAAAACAAATGAAAGGGTCCTATTTCTCTGGGACAGCTACAAATAATAATACATGAAGTGTTCAGTGGACACTTGATCTTTTGGTGCCTGCATAATCTTCATTAGAACCAGTTAGGTTGATAGGTGGTATTTTCCCATTCCCTGAATGTGAGCTCCAGAGGTAAGTGGTTGACAGCCAATAATTGATAGACCAGCATTTCATGAATCAGGATGTGCCTGGCTCCAGAACCTGTGCTCTTAACCAGTTATTTATAAATTAAAATGATTAAGGAATTTGTAGATCCCATCATGCTAAAGAGAATGGTTGAGCTAAGTCTCAGTTTGAAATTCAATCCCTGACCAACCCTAACCTACTTACCTATTCCTGTCTCCCTGTGCCAGGACTAGTTAGGTGTGCAGTGATAACCTTTACTTCTCTGAACTCCATTTTCTTTCTTTCTTTCTTTTTTTTTTCTACTGAGACAGTCTCCTTCTGTTTCCCTGGGTAGAGTGCTGTGGCGTCATAGCTCATAGCAACTTCAAAAT